TGAGACACTAAAAGTCATTATCATACCTTAAAATAAGTAAAATCACTAGCACTGTACATAATTATATAAAGTTAAAACATAGGCGCCTGCGATACATAAGATATAAAGCAGCGTCTAAAGTCGATCCAGTAAAGGTGTAGCTGGACGAGAATACCGACCGGTTTCGACTTTTAACTTAAATTTGTTTACACGACATTCCCAACTTCTCCGTTTTCCTTTTGACCACTAATGTATTTTATAGACTAGCATATCGTGAGCGGTTCCATTAATCCTTAACCAGAGCCTACAGACCTCCACTTTCTGTTCCACGTCACAGGACCTCCAACCAGGATCGCCACTTGTGGCGACATTGGTTGCATTTCTTCCGGTATCGAAGAAGTAGCGGCACACTTTATTATTATTTCTCTGGTCAAGGTTGTAACATCCTTATACCATTGTTGAATAAATTGGTCATGTAAGCTTGGTTTTCAATGGATGTTTCAAAAATATATAAGTTCAGCCCGAGTTACTAGTATTTCATTAATATAGTGCAATCATTTAAAATGACAACGAAGGGTCATTTCACGTTAACCGTACATCATAGTGTACACATTACTCCATTATTTATGCAGTATAATAGTAAACACATATTCAAAGTAGCTTCATTAAAATATTATTATTCCGTCTATACCACATTCCTACGGTGCTTTTAACCAACACTTTATGACGGTACATGGTACGAATTGTTTTCTTCAGTTTGATCTTACGAAGTATATTCCTGTAAAATATAGAATGCATGTATGTCTCAGTAGATTAAATACTTCTTTGCATTCTTTGAGACGGGAAGAAAAAGAAATTTTCCTTCAGAACAAATACATTGTAAGGTATGTACCTCCACAGACATGAAAGATGAATTTTGCTTCTGTTAATTTGCAGTAAATTTCAAAATCTAAGAGTGCGGTTTTCCGACTATTCAGTTGTTAAGTGTCAAAATAGTAAACAGCTATGTATATTAAGGAAGTTTATCTTTGAGACTGTCAGAACCTCATAGTTGATTATATCGTGTATTATGTACATCATCTTTATACATTCTCTATACATCGTTTTTTGTACATCATCTACCATATATAAGGGCCAATAGCCCAAGCTTTGAATAAATGTTGACAATATTGACATTTGTGATATTATGATAAGTGAAAATTATAATTATTTTTCCTATCTACAGTGTATGTCCACACAAAATCAGCTTGAGATTGAAATTTTGCAGACATAACTATAAAATAAAGGAAATATAAAAACAACATTCAGTCAACTGTTATTGTATCAGTTGCAATTTATAGACAATGCATTACAGAATTTTAAATAATCTTTGATATTAAGATTAGTTGATGAGACTTTACTTAATCAACAATAATTTAAGATTTTAATAACATGTAGGCGGCTAGTACTGTACATGTTATAATATCTGTAAAATCGTTATTATTTTCAGGTTAAATAAATATATTCATTTTTTTTATTATTCATATTTCATCTACTACCACGTGTCATTATAGTTCTTCACAAAGAAAATGGAATATTTCTCTGATTAAAGTAGACATAAGTTCTTAATTATAATATGTATTACAATACCATCTACATCATTTTGAAACAGACTATAACCAAATTGTGATCAGGTGTGAAAATTGAAATGTATGCTAGGTGAGACTAGGTATTTTAGAAATGTATGCTAGGTGGAGACTAAACCGATTGGCCCCTGTCTCTAGAAAATTGAATTATTTAGAAGAAAAATAAATTCTAACAATCTTCGAAGTCTGATTTCTATACTAAGGAGATAAGCTAGTAGGAAAATACAGTTGCGAAATTCTTCATGAATAACTTAGGGACTGAAAGCGAGTCTAACATACTGTAACTAGGAAGAGAAAATGCAGCAGCCAGACCGGGATTCGAACCCGGGACCTCAAAACTTTACACTGAAGCTCTAACCAGTTGAGCTACATAGTCGCGGGCGAATTGTTTCGCAAAACTTACTTTCTCGGGGAAAATATGACCGCCATAAACTGTACATTTATTTGACGTTATATCTGGTGAACTGTAGTAAAATTGACATGAATTATGTCAATTAAGTGACAAATGTTGTTCGTTTTTGTTTAGAAAAATGCCCATCATAAAAAGTTCTACAAAACAGTTGGTTTCTAGGTTTTAAACCTATTTTTCAAATGCATGTTTACTTATGAAGCGTTTGGTTGTCTGTTAAATTTAGTTAAAAGTACTAAAATCCAAAATCCAAAACGTGATTTAGATCTCAAATGAGTAGATTCTAAAAAAAACCGTTACCTGTCTAAAATGATTTAACGCGTATCTTTTCACCGACACCTTTTTTTCCGAAGCACGTAAATTATCGCGCGTTAATCCTCGTTACATCACAGTGCACCCGGATGAAAAATCGTGTCTGGGTAAGAAATCGTGTCGTAACAACAGAAAACCGTTACACTGTTTCCTATACCGAATATCTGTTGACGTGTCAAAGGGAATCGTATCGTATAACTTCGTAGTCACATGTTTTAGGTGTGGCAAGGAACTATCTATCGAAGCATTCATTGTCTTGGTGTCAAGTTCACTTCATAAAGGATTTAACCAAATCCCTGTGGGCTGAGTTTCTCTTTAGGCGGAATGACACCTTCCGAATTTTATATCAAGATATGCATATATATTAAGAAAGAAATAGAGTTTTAATTTAAAAACCTTAAATGTCAAATAAAATGCACCTTACACATCAGAATAGAGATAAACGAACGTGTTGTGTAAAGACACACATGATTGTACCTATAACATTTCGTAACAGATACAATATGCAAAACGTGTCGTCCTTCGTATTCCGTCTTTGCGTATTGCAGAGTTATCTTCTCTTGTGTGCAGGTATTGATTGTTACGTCATTGGTTTGTGTGAGAAAATTAAGTCGTTTTCTCAAAAATTGATGACGTTACTCTCACAAACAAATGACGTATCAATCAATCCCTGCTCACAAGAGAAGATAACTGCAATACGCAAAGACGGAATAGCTTGTAACTAATTAGCATGCCCCTGTGGTATTGGTATGGTTGTTAGGAGTCAGACTATGGTTTAACTAAAGAACCAATGACAATAAGTACTTGTACATTAACAAATTCACTATTTTACCGTATCAACAGCCATTTTAAACCTTCTACTCTCTAGAGTTGAAATACCTGAAATATTTCAATACGATCACTATCTTTATTGAATTTATTCAAGATCAGACAAATCGCATGAACGCGACATTTCACATGCAATATAATTAATGTATTCTTCTGTATATTTGTGGAATTTCATGGGGCTTATATATCGCAGTTTGCCGGATTAGAAATATAGTTCGCTGTGATTTAAATTGCAAGCAATATTATTATACACGTAAATGAAAATACGGATTGGCTCTGGAGTTAACTCCCCTTTGCGTCTCTACCCTCCTTAACCTATCTTAATTCAGTAAAGAAACAAAACCAACAAACGATGTACAGAAAACAAGGAAGTATGACACAAATGACACAGTATGACGCTAAGGTTAATACTTAGAAATCACTAGTAGTAAAGTTTGCACATTCTGTGTACGCAAGTTACAGATTTCATGCGAAAGTCATCTAACTCCGATGAATTAAACGCATGCTCTACATTTCCTCCAATGGGGGCATGGAAAACAATGCAATGTAAATCACGCTAAACATTATGTATATATAGTGTACAAATTATGTGGGACTAGATCAGGATTAAAATCCTAGACCTTTAAGATTCATATACAGTCTTTCTTCCCAACGTAACTACCGAATCAACGGAAATCCTTTCATCACACAACCGGCCTGATATCCAGTGAATTCGCTCGTGTAATATTTGTACATATGTCACTAGCGTAATATACCATGGTGCGTTTTGCATTGACTGAGCTAGTCAGAAATCGATTGTGACGTCATAATATGGACAATGACGTGACGTCATAAATTGTGAATGGCGAAACTAAATGGCTGTGTCTGTTTGATTAAGCCCTCTACATTTTGGCTTTAAAACCTGTCAAAATGTTAGTTGTCTGAGTTATGTGATAAAAAGTGTCTTAAATTTGTTTTCATTTTATATGAGCTTTTACGAAACTCGTCTCGAAGGTTTAAATTTTTGCTCGCCAAAGCTCACAAAAATAAAGAATCGTTTCATAAAATCTCAATTGAAATGAAAACTCATTTGAGATCCTATATATCCCGGTTGCGCTACAGATATACGAAAAAGACACAGTCGTATCGCCAGTGTAATGCCTGCAGTTGGAAAAGGATCAGTCAGAAGAAGCGATAGCTGTACTTTTCCAGTTTATTTTACCAAGAAATGAAAGAGGAAAAGGATGATAGATGTCCAAAATGAGCCGTACAAGTAATGACTAGGATATATATACAAAATGTAAGAGTGTTGGAATTCTGTTGGAAAAACGTGTTTCATAACTGTTGTTAAACAAGCAGAGTTTATATTATGTATTTGTTATTGTGTTATTTTGTATGACGTAACGTAAATAAAACACCATTGCTACCGATGAATCTAAACATTCATCGTAGTAAAATGTCTTGAATTTGACAAAACCTACAGTAAAATCTTGATAATAATATCCTCGATAAAGACCCTCACTCATACAGCCATTATATTTCATTTTTTTTCTCTTTTTTCAAATAATTTCTTTCTACTTTTCCCCTCAGTTCATCAACAAATCTCGTTATTACGTCGAAATTTCTCTGCATAAATGGTGGCAGTCTAACGAGGTTTATGTTTGTTTATTACGCAAACATTCACTGCTTTAAATAAGCTGTTGTGCTCTGCTTAATGCTGGGTCGGATTTAAAACCAATGAGGTATCGCAAAAACATAACAGAACTTCCCATTACATATGACGGACAGAGAACAGTAATGAACAGTATGTGATAAATATAAAATATCTTAACTAAATCTAATATATGAATTATAGGAAAATTACGTACCAGCAGCGACTTTTTCATTTGTAGTATTTTCCACACACACATTCCGCTTCAATCCAACCGATGTTCCTCAGAAACGTATAGATATTGATATATATGTTAATTTACGTTGTAATCCTTCTCAGACCATCCTAATACATTCAGGTGTAAAACGACAATAGCATTTGGCAAGTAGTCGGACGGCCGGGCAAAACCTCACAAAATTAAATATCGTTACACACAGAACATCGCTATATTGAAGGGATTTAAATCCGGGTCCTCAAGACACTGTCAATGTCGCCTGCGGCAATTTAAAAACACAAAGGAATATCTTCCATCAAAATTACATCACTTTGTTCCACCACGGAAAACACTTTGGTGGGTTGGGTAGATTTCGCGGTATTGGCCCCTGTCACTTGACCGCTCTAAGTCAAACTCACAATCTGATCGGTTATATGGAAATCCGACCAATCAGAATTCGCTATTCAAGATTGTTGTGTAAACGAGCTCCATAAAAATGTAGAAACGTATAGAAATATTACCTGATTTCAATTTGAATCAGGGATATCAAAATTACACGTACTTGACATGAATCTTTAAAAACACGCTCTACGTGAGAGGTTCACAACATAAGGTAGATAGTTTCACCATTTCTCTACATTGAACAGATTTTTTTCTCGTTTACGGAAAGTGACGTATTTGATTGCCTTGCCTGCTAAATCTCGTTTGATGATGAAAAACTAGGTGTGTGTGTGGGGGGGGGTTCCATGTGGGGGGAAAATTGAGGAAAATGGTGAATTTAGGTAGTCTCGTTCAACCAGACTCTTTTTGTCTGCGCAGCGCAAGCTACGCCGAACAGAGAATTACAAGATACCAATAACTATAGAAGCATAACTTTAGTAAGTTGTCTGTCGAAACTGTTTACTTCTATTCTTAATCACAGATTGTTAGAGTGGTCAGATAGTAATAATATTATATCAGACGCTCAGTTTGGTTTTCGCCCTAATTTTGGGACAACTGACGCTCTTTTTACACTTCATGGCGTAATTAATAGATTTTTGTTACAAAAGAAAAAACTCTATTGTTGTTTCATTGACTATGAAAAAGCGTTTGACACTATTAATCGAAAGAAATTGTTTCATAAGTTAGCAAGGAATATGGTCACTGGAAAAATGTACACTATCGTTAAATCCATCTATGAAATGGTTAGATCTTGTGTAAAATATGAGTCGGAGTTATCTACCTTTTTCAATGTCACAAACGGGCTTATGCAAGGGGAAGGGTTATCTCCCTTTCTTTTTTCTCTATATATCAATGATTTGGAAAATGAGTTGATCATGAAAACCACTGAAT